TTCAAAACTAACAACACCTCGATTTATTTTACACTAAGGGCTATCTAAAAACCAAATATGAGCGAAATCGATTTTTTGACTTGTGCCATGAAAATTCGATTTTGGTCGATCCTTACAGAGAGTCGCTCTTAATAAGCTCTTTCCAGCTATTCTAATTATTTCTCAGTTCATGGATAGTTTCCCTTCCAGGTGATTTTGCTTTCTCAGCCTGAACAAAATAGCCAATCAGTGAACCTTTTGTTTGTAGCTCAACATTTCCTAGTTCCAGATTTTTAGCTTGATAAAATGAAAATAAGAAAAATGAGCTACATGTAATCAATATTGAAATGTTCACCAAAAAGTATATTTTAGAAATAGCACATTTTGTCTTTGTAAGTAGAAACCCAATTTTTTTTGACTAGAGAAATATGGAAAATTTTGACTGTGATAAAGAAACCGTACCAATGAGCATGTAGATTAGATTTGATTGGTTTGTCGATTTGTTTCCATTATTATAAAAAAGCCTGTTGTAAATTTGCGAATCTTCTTTCTTGTTTCTACAATGTACCTAGTCCATAATTATTTCCATGATCATCTAAACTGCTGGCTGTCTTCTTGATTTATGTACCCACAAGGTACCCTCTAACAGACTAATCTTGACTAAATGTTACTAGTCATATTGTGGTACATAAGAGGAGATACCACTAAAAACTGTTGGAAATTTGTTTTTTTACTAACAAAAACATCCTTCCCTATACAAAAATATACAATAAGATCCAATAATAGTTAGCATAACAAAGATTGGTAGAACAACAAAGATCCCCTTTTAAAGTCCTAGCGATGGCCAGCAAACACTTAGACTGACATCTTAGCATAAAGTGTGGGTTGATCAAAATAACCATCTGCCAGTCTAATGTTTGATTGAAAGAAAAAGGATAGGAAATTTAGACTAAAATAAAAAAGATTCTAACGATATGAATAGAATTTTAATTCTAACTTGAAGTTAACTTTTCTTGTAACTTTTTCCTCCAGGGTATTCTTAGAGCCAACTAACATCTGCTTTGGTAAGTTTTCAATATTCAACCTTGTAAATTATATTATAGTTAGACTGCCAGCAGTCTCACTTGTCCCTGCAGACTCAGTAAGATAAGTCTATAATAGGATTTCTGTGGAGATGGAGATGCATATATATATAAAGCGATTGGAGCAGAGTAAGCAGCTGAAACTCTGCACGCTTCCACAGCAATTTTGAAACACTTGTCTTAGCCTCTTTGGGTAGCATATATGGCTCCTTATTTATCAATTGACACAGTTTTCTTTGTTATTCACGAGGCTTTATTTTTGTTATAACCCTCACTATAAATGTGAGGTCAATATATATAGTTATTAACCCAGTTAATAACTATCATATTGACCTCACATTTATAATGAGCAATTCAGTTCAATTCATCAGCCCCAGCCTGCTCATGCAGGTTTTTTTTAAAATCTTTTTTTATTATTATTCTTGCTATTTTTAAGTCAAATATATAAACATTTGATAGAAAACCTTCTCAATTCTAATCTAATCTACAAAGCTTTTCGCTGTTGTATCACAGCGTGGGACAATCACGACAGAGCTAGGCGCCWAACTAAGTGAAAGCCCAGAGATCGAATTAGAATTTAGGAGTTGATTTTTGAGGAGGGAGGAAAACCAGAGAACCCGGAGAAAAACCCTCGAAGCACAGGAGAGAACCAACAAACAACTCTACTCACATACGACATCGAGATTGATAAATAGATAAATAGAATACTTAATTACCTCGAACGTCGGCCCTTGGGATGTACTATAGGCTTATGGCCTCCGTTCTCGGTAATTAACTTTATATATATGGCTTGACAGATCAAGCATGTCCTTCGAATTTGTATTGTTCCAGAGAGGGACCTGAAATTTCCAAGGGGTGGGAAGGTCAGAGAAAGAACAAAATTGAATACAGAGGTGGTATGGTTGAAAATTGGAATTTCTGGGGTTAGGGGACAGGGGGGGGTTAAAAAAATTCCAGGATCATTTCTGGAGCTACACAATATATTAAATAATAAAATATTTTGCTAAAAATTGGAAACATGTTTAGATTGTGTTAGAATATTTTCATTTTCATTTAAAAAATTGTGCAATATGAACTTGAGACCTTTTGATGTATTTTTGCTTTTCCAGTAAGGTTTTCAAAATACTACATATTACTAATAATTAATTAGTTTTTAATAATTTTTACTAATAATTATTTTTACAATTTTTTAAAAAGATTCCTTAATTATTGTGTACATTTATCACAGAAAGCTTAATTTGCAGTGAAACGTCTAGCTCAGTGTTATTATATTTCATTTTCTTCAGATACATTTGAGCCAACATCAAGCCTCTCAATTCCATCCAGCATTATAAAACAGCAGACCATTGCTTTAGCACAAGAAGGCAAAATACTGACAGCAAACCAGTCTCTAGTGTTGGCATACTATCCATTGGGAGATCCAGGTGATTAAATGCTACAAATGATATTCATTTTAGTTATCAATTTAAGCATTTACTTGTCAACTAGATACATGTATTTTTGAGTGACATGTTTTATAAGGAGCACTGGAAAGGTACTGTAGGAAAGAAGTACTTAATGACTTAACAGCACTGTCGTGTACAGTACATCAATGTACTGTATGCATATGCAATGCAACAGAAGGCTTTCTCAAGGCCTATTTCTCCCTTCAGCAACTGAGTATCTTGCTTCTTGTGACACAGTAGTTTGCTTCTTGCAACTTGGTCCACTTGCACATCTGAAAAACATAACTAGTGGTGCCGTGGGGTTGACTTGTGGCAACTTTTACTATTTTCACCCCATTGAGCTGCACCTGCACTGCTGTAATTTGTGGTGGTGATAAGTGGTAATTTCATTATATATGCTTAGTCATATACATTATGGTACGATACGTTATTTTATTGCATTTATTAGGGACATGGTAATGCCGTATACAATTACATATACACTACACTGCTTATATTTATTTGCCACTCATGCAAAAAATGGAAGTGTTTTTTTTAATGGTTTTTATTTATCTGTAATACTGACATTCTTAAATTTCTATTCTAAAGTGGCGTCTTTGATGAGAAAAGTTTCCCAAACGACTGGAATCAAAGCTGTAAATTACAGTGTAGTTCATGGAGAGAAAGAATTTACAAGTCTTGACCAGATCATTGCTGAGGCAACTGAGCAYGAAGATCGATATTTTGGAGGTATATAATCTCATAAATGCTTATAAGTTTTTGTTTATTAGTTAATGGGGCTTTATTGCATGGGCATTTAATGATATATTAATAATAATGGTTTAATCAGAGTTTCCACAAATGTGGCTCTTCACCTGATATAAATATCTATATAGTAATGATATGAAGAGGTTTAAGAAAAAATTCCTATTCAGTATTTTGTCAGGGATTCTAAAGAGCCTCTGAGATGTACAGTATGTGGCTTAATGCCTTAGTTTAATTATACATAGTTGCAGAACTTTGTAATATTGTGGGTTAATTAACTAGTCTTAAATATATTGAAATCCAGAAAATTTGAAAGTTTAAGAAGCACCCGATTGCCTCAATTGGTTGAAAATGATTGATTGCAAAGTTAATGATTCAAGGTGTGGCTAGACCATGGTCTAGTCAGTCTTAATTAAAATGTCTGAGTAGACTTAGATGCTGAATTTGCTCTAGAAATATTTGGTTAAGACCTTTATTATGGATTGGTTGACCATGTTGAATGATGATGCTATCTAGCTATCATGGAGGACCACAAGCTATGAAGGCTTAGTTGCGACTCGAAAGAGTGTCTCTAGCTCCCTAAGTAAAGATGCTGCTGCTAATGGTGGTGGTGGTGATGGTGGTTGTGATGATGGTGGTGATTTTGGTGTTGGTGGTAATGGTGGTGATGTTGATGTTGGTGGTGGTAAGGTGGTGATGTTGGTGGTGGTGGTAATGGTGGTCATGTTGATGTTGGTGGTGGTAAGGTGGTGATGTTGGTGGTGGTGGTAATGGTGGTGATGTTGATGTTTGGTGGTGGCGATGGGGTGTGTGATAGTACTACTAGTGGTGGTGTTTGTGATGGCAGTGGTGATGTTAAAAATGATTGTTGTTACTTTGGTTGTCTATTAATTATATAATTATAATTATTGATATTATTTTGAAATCTATCATTCAATAATTCCCCCTTTTTTGCAGTTGTGGTGTTTGATTTGAACAAAGGAGACCCTCTGCCCAAGAAAGTCAAGTATTCCATTCGCTTGTCCCATAGTTCTGCTGGAGATCGGAAAACCTGGCTGACTGAAAGAACCTACCCAAACTTCCAGACTAGAGGAGCACGGAAAGATAAGTGAGTCTTAATAAAATGTACTTTTAACATAATTCTAAATATAACTCGTGACACAAGTCAGCCTCATGATGTGATACTTTGACAGTTTTTCTCCATGTTCTACCTCCAAGTTGATGCACAATAATGTACTAAGATCTTCACAACTTATCTTATGTGACACTCTTTTCTTTACAGTTTTTATTTGTCAAGATTTGTACCACTCCAATATGCCATTGACATGGCCATCATCCAGGAAAAATCTAATCTTCCTACGCCTATTCCTATGAATGTGCAGGTAACTACTATGTATACTAAGTATTGATCTTGAACCATAATTTATTCTGCCAATGTTGATTTTTGGGATTACAGACTTTTCCTTTCTGCTATGGCCTATCTAACAATTAGATGAAGATATGGAAATATAGATAAGTTTTAGTGCTTAGGAACAAGGTTATTCCGGGCGAAAGCCGGTAGTACAATTCTGAAGGTCGTGGGTTCGATTCCCAGCGAGGTTGTAAATTAATTTTTCTGAATTTAATTCCAAGGGCTTTCGCCTGGAATAACCTCGTTCCTAAGCACTATAACTTATCTATATTTCCATATCTTCATGTATTTCATAAGTGCTACGCGGTCCTCATATTCTTATCTAACAATTAGACTGTCAGCGTGAGGGGAGGGTAGGGGGAGTGGCATGAGGGACCATGAGGGCCAGATATGTAATTAATTAATTAATTAATTAAAATTCATAATTGTAATTTTTGGAATAGTATAAACCTACTATTTTGTCAACAAATGCAAAGATAGATACAACCAATTTTGCAATTAAGTTTAAATTTTGCTACTAGTGGTCTATCACTAATAGAACAGCAGTAGCTCGACTAATCAGAGCTCTTGATTTGTGATATATCATCTAGTAGGTTTATACTGTCTAATAATAGTTAGCAATTTTCAAGCCATTATGCAAACTTGTAGTTGTGAACTGGTTGTTGGGATTTGACATTCCACTGTCAAAAATATTGAAGGTTGGTCAATGTCTGACCAGAATAATCTTGCTGGTCTTATGACCAAGCTAAAACTACTTTGACTGGTGCTCAATCATGACTGGTGACTGAATGCGTGGTCATTATCTTAAGCCTTGGGTTGTGATTGATTGACAGCAGGAAAAACCAATTTTCAATGGGCAGGCATGTAACAACCAAGTTTGTATTCATGAATTACATTGAAAACTGTATCTATGATAATTTGATATTTATTTGATATAAGAAAATATATGTTTCAGTCTACTTAACTATCATAATTTTGGTTATTTATTGACAGCAATTGCCTTATCCTAGCTATGTTCAGGATCCCTTTGTTCAGACTGTGTCTGGACTCTTACCATTCATGGTTACATTGGCTTTTATCTATTCTGCTGTCTCAATCATTAAGGTATGTATAAATTTGCATGGCCTAGCTGCTGCAATGTATCATGAGGCTAATCAATAAAGGACCTCATTTTTTTTACCAGGGGTCATCAAAGGGGTAGGGGAGGGGGGTTTTACACATGAAAAAAATCAGAGTCACTATATTGTCAGTGTATGAAACCTCATTTAAATCATACAGGGGTCAGGCAAGAAAACCCCAAATGTACACATGTAGCTAGTAAATCATACAAGAATGCCCTTTAAGGGGTAATATTAAAAACATTAAAAACTGAAAAAAATTACAACAAAAAAAATCACAAAAAAAATAGAAGGAAATGATGAAAAAAGAATTAATGGGAAAAAAGCTAAAAGAGGAATAGGACAAAATATTTGCTCTTTGTAGATGAGATTGAAGAGCATTAATTCCTCTCTAAAATGATAGCAGGCAGAAGATGATCCATAACATTTCTCAGAGGCTTCGTTTCAGCTATACTAGCTGACTTTTACATCATTTTACAGGAAATCGTTTTTGAGAAACAACAGCGTTTGAAGGAGTCCATGAAAATGATGGGACTGGAAAACTGGTTGCATTGGTTGGCTTGGTACACCAAATGTCTGCTGTTTTTGTTAATCAGCGTGATTCTTGTCACACTGGTTATCAAGGTGAGTCAGGACCACTATTGTGAATGTTCTGGCTTTCTGAGTGGTCTAGAGCCGGGGGAAATAGGAGAAATACTGATACATTATGTCAGCAAATCTCACGCACGCTTGAAACCCTGTGAGTCCACAACATTTTGATAGCTAGATGACGAAAATCGTGGTAAATGAGAGGACATACCAGGGAAAAATGGAGGAAATTGGTTAAATTCGGCGGAAAGTGTTGAGAAGCTGCTAATGTGTTGCCTCTCGACATTGAAGTCATTCTCTCTCTGAATATTCCAACCTGGCACCTTTATAAAAATGTGGTAATATGGGTGTCAAAACCATGCAGCATGTGATGGGAAACTGTTTCTTTACATTTTTCAGAATTTGTTTTCCTGTATTGCCACTTCACTGCAGTCTTTTGCAATATCTCTCATCACTTTTTGAAGCCTCACTAAACTTTTAAACCCATCTTTATAGACCCCTTGCAGCACATTGGAATGCAGTTCAATCTGGGGGACAAAACAATAGGTTGCAATCCTCAGGGGTTTGGAATTCTTTTGTTTTGTCCCCTTGATCGAGCTGCTTTGAAGTCACATGCAAGGGGTCCATAAAGATGCGACAATATTGGTGTAAAAATGGTGCAACATGTAATGTCATTCAACACTGTTGCATTACATGCTTGAAATAGACCCCTTACAGCACGTCTGAATGCAGCTGAATTTGGAGGACATAACAATCCAATTCTCATGAGATTGAAATTATTTTGTTTCATTCTCTAATTTGAGGTCCTTTTACGTCGCATGCAAGTGGACTATCAAATGTTCGACTCGGTTACCACCTTGCACGCATAAAAAATATCTATTTTGCATGAAAGAGAAGCTCTCTTTAATCTTTGCAACGGCAAAAATTTGTATGATATTTACATGTACTCACCCTTCGACTCTCTAACCCTTTGTTCTTTTCCCTTTGGTTCAGGTTTTCAAGATCTTTGAATATTCCGATGGTTTTATAGTTTTCCTCTTTTTCCTGATCTATGCCGCTGCCTCCATCTCTTACTGCTTTTTTATCAGGTAAACGAATTGATTGATTAATTCCTAAAATAAATCTTAAAATTTCCGTTCTTTCCCCTTCATAGTCAGTGGGTGAGGTTCGTCTAATGCTGAATTTTTCTGGGTTCCCTTTCTCAGATTTCTAGATCCGCTCTTGCACAGGGCCAGCTCAAACCTGGTGTATAATATTCTTGTGTTAAAGTGTAGAATAGTTTTCGATGGTATTATAATATAAAGGATAAAATTCTTAAGCGTGTCAGATCAAAAGTAATCATTAGGGAACTCGAAAAAAAAATCTGTGTCACTTATAAGAGAATTGAATCCTTCCGTATTCTAGTCGGAAGCTCTACTACTGACTTACAGAAGGCTCATGACGAGCTAATGGCCATTACTGTGTGGGTTGGGAATTGGGTTATGAATTTGCAAAAGTGGCTATAGTCAACCACAATCCATCTCTCTGCGGTTCTAGTGAAGACAATTGGAATCTCAACTTTCCCATAGAAATGTACATGGTGCCTGAAAATGGAAGGCAATGTTTGTCATTAACTGAAGACTTTTAGTGAGATTCATTCAGACGATTGATGCCAAGCAATTAGAAAACTTGGATTTTCCATGTCTTCAACGAACACAAGAATATGCTGAAACGAATTTGTTTGCTTGAAAACTTAAAAGTGAAATGATCACGAATAATCCCTTTTTATTTTTAGCGTGTTTTTCTCCAACCCAACTCTGAGTATGCTGTTTGGCTTGGCATTGTGGTATGCATCACTTCTGCCTTACCAGATCTTCGCACAAAATCAGAATTTTGATCTGCTCAGCAAGTAAGTTTAAAACGTTCTTTTTTGTTGCATGCAAAATGCCGTCGATGGTAGCGTTGAATATAAATTCCATTCCTCCCTCCCTCCCTTCCTCCCTCCCT